ATCAAAGTAAGATGAATGTCACAATACTGCCTGGCTCTAAAGAAGACCTAAGTAGATGCCTGCCCTAAAAATAATCCTGCAATTTTTTTTGTTATAGTCACTTTAACGCTTTTGGGTCATTCGTGACTTGTCTGGGGGTGAGATTTGAACTCGTGACTTTGGCGTGAGAGGTATGGATGCTAACCACTACGCCGGCGTCGCCGACACAGTATCATTTGCAAAAAGCTTAATGTCGCAAAATCGCAGGGCTGATAGCGAGTCACTTTTTAGTGACTTGGTCACTTTTTTCAAGGAAGTCACTAAAAAGTCTCTTTTTTAAGACCAAGTCACTAAAGTCACTTTTTTTTTTGTAATAAGTCACTATTTCCAACTTTTTTAAACGTGAATTTATTAGAGGTCTATCTATTATTTTGTTCTATTTGTGAACAATTCGAAGTTGACGACCTGGTATTGAGTTTTTTTTTACGTTTAATTGTTCTTCTTTATCTACATGGTATCTACTCATTTGGCTAAATAAAGTTCCCTGAGTTTTCCAGGTTTTTCCATAACTTTGGCGGATAATTTCCAGATTTATAATAATGATGCTATTTATGAAATGGACGATTTTAAGACATGACAAACAGTTTTAAAGAAACAGCTTTAGCTGAAATCCATTAAATGTTGAAGTTGAACACTTACTTCATTATAGTAAGTCCAAGATCACAACATTTTTAATGTCTTTACGTTTCGTACCATCAAAAATGTGGAAACTTTAATGAAGTTCTATTGATCTTAGAAAAGCTAGATCCAGAGATCTTTAGGGAATTCCAGAGATCTTAGGGGGAAGTCCCCGAAACTTTAGCCCAGACTATTGAATTGGTTTAAAAATCTATAAGCGTGAGCTTAGACAAATTCAGAATAGTTCCATGAAGTGCTGAAATAAAATCGAGAACCCTTAAGATCCGAGAGATTCAGTATAGGGGAAAAGTTGGCTTCGGCAATACCTTAACCTTTTATCGTCAGGGGGTAAACAAAGTCCTAGAGCACTCAAATTTGACCAATAGTTGCTCTGAAACACAATGTATCCACATGCCAAAACTGAGCTCTCAAGGACGTTGTTTACCCCCCTGACGATAATAGGTTAAGGTATTGCCGAAGCCAACTTTTCCCCTAGATACCTTCTGAAAATTTATGAAACCTCAGAAATATTTCAGGAACATCACAGCAATCCAGAGAATTTCAGGGAAGTTTAAAGGTGTTTACGAGAATTCCATTTATTTTAAAGCAGAGCTGAGATATGAGTTGAGAGTTTTAGGGAAGCTTCGAGAACATGAAGACAGATCAGAGAATTAAAGAGCAGTTAAAAAAATTCGAGAAAATTGCAGAAGCCGGAATTTCCGGAAAATTCGGTTTGCTCAGAGAAAGTTTCTGGAACGCAATAAAAATTATATGAACATCCGGAAAATGTGACAGCATTTCAAGGGTGTTGTATCATGGAAATTTAAAACTCTAAAATTTAGCTAAGGTGATTAGAGAACATCAACGAAGTATCATTGATAAAAAAGAAAGGCGAGAACTTTTAGCAAGCACCGATATTTTCAAGAAATTCCAGAGAACATCTAAGAAATTGAGATATTTTTGATTGTTTCATTATATGCAGTGAGGATTAGATAACATCAGAAAAATACCATTAACTTAAGGAAGTTGGCAGTGACTTACAAGGAGTTCCTTGGAGTTATGTGATATTCCGAGAATCCTATGATTGATCCGAAAACTTTAGAAGCTTCAGGGAATTACAAATATAAATCAGAAAATTTATCGGAACATTTGATCAATTTAGAGAAATTAAGGTAAGCATAGAAAACTTCTTACAGGAAAAATGGGTGATTTACATTAAACTTTATAAAACTTGAGGAAAATTGAAGAACTTAAAGGCAATTAAATCAATTCCAGTAAAATGGTGGGTTTTTTCATAAAAAAAATACTAAGGCATGGCAGTCTAGAGAATTTTAAGAAAATTGAGAAATACTTTGGGCAGTTTTAAATACATCAGGAAATTCTAGACTATTGAAGAAGTTATGAATTTGTTTAGATAATTTGAACTTCAGACAAATCTTGAGAACTTCAGTAAAATTCATAGAACTATATTAATTATTTCGCTGCGGAGCGGAAGTCTAAAGAAGTTCCTGAAATTTCAGAATAACTTCGAAAATTTCACAGAAGTACAGAGATCTTCAGAAACATTTCGAGAACTTCACAAAAGTCTATGGAACTTAAGGGAAGATCCGAGAACTTCAGGAACTTTTATGGACATTTTGGGAGCATCTCAAATAAGTTTAGTAAAGCTCCAAAAACAAAGGGAATTTCAGGGGAGTTTCAGTTCAATTAGTTTCACTAAATAAGCGGGAAATTTCAAGAAGTTCCCAGATTTTCAGAGAACTTTAGAGATGTTAAGAAAATTATTGAGGTTTTCACATAAGTCCAAAAATTCACGCAAGCTTAAACCAATTTAATTAATGGTAGTACAACACTTCAAAGAAGTTTCGAGAACTTCGAGAAAGATATGCTCAGAGCAGGGAAATTACATAAATTTTAAAAAAGTTTCGAGAAATTCTGTGAATTGTTAACATTATAGAGAAGATTCATCATCGTTAGGAAAATTGTGGAAACTTTAAGAAGTCCGAAATAGTTTATAGAAGTTAAAAGAAATGATGAAATTAAACGGAGATTTCTCATGAAAATTCGCATGGAGTTTACTATCTTAAGCTTAGGCTTTACATGAAGTCTAAAATTCCACAGAAGTACCATGAAAGCAGATTGTTTTTCTCATAGATTTTTTCCCAGAACTCCCGTGGAATGAGGTGCTTTGAAATTAGAAATTATAATAAAATTCCATGAGCTTGTGCAAGGAATTTGACTACAGATTCTTGAAAATTTCTTGAAGTATTATTATTTTTCAGTTCAGAATTTATAAATGTATGTATTTGTTACTGAAGATTAATCCATTCTGGATCTATAAAGTTCAATGTGTGAGCTAGGAATATTAAATGTTTTTATTTTAAAATGCATTCTTGGTAAGAAAATTATTTAATTTCCGGGGACGACCCCGGCGTAGGGGTTAACATCCATACCTCTCAAAGTGATTATGAAGTAATGAAATTGGGTTGTTAGCGGAAGGCTAAATAAAACGGCAAAAAAAAATTAAATTTCCTGAGAAATGATAAGATTCCCTGATACTTCCAGGTATTTTCAGGAAACATAAAAACCGAATTCCTGGTTTTTCATGTTTTTTTTCTGGTTCTACTGGAGGTTTAGTCATGAACTTTCTATTGAATGTTAGGTTCCTATCGTACATATTTAAGTGTTTATGAGAATCTAATTGAATAAGTCTAAAACATCAAACATTTATTTGGTATGCCATCAGAACGACTATATGTCTTCCCGTAGGTCACTATTTGGTCACTTATTTCTTCAACAAAGTCACTAAAATCACTATTTTTGACAGCATTGATCGCTACCAGCCCTGAAATCGTAAAACACGTCGCAAGTCTTTAATATATATAATATAAATAACAGTGGCCCTAATACACTTCCCTGGGGAACTCCAAGGTTATTCCCCACGGGACTGGAAACATAATCATTGAAAACAGTCCGTTGAGTCCTGTCAGACAAATAGCTTTCAAACCATTTATATGCAGCACTCGTAATTCCAAAGCGCTTGATTGATCTTAACAATAAGGACCTAGCAATTGTTTCAAAAGCGCGTTTTAGATCCAAAAAAACAGCAACAATCGTATCTTTACACTCCATGTTATTTTCCCACTTGGCTAATACCAAATTCAATGCGGTTTCACAAGAATGTTCCCGAATGTTCTGGTATCAACAAACTATTACTATTTAAATACTCCAACAGCTGGCCTTTAACAACAAGTTTTAACTAGCATCCAAGTTCAATAATATTTCTCTTTTATTTCAAACACCTTAAAAATAAGAAGAAGCTAACAAGCGGTAAAATTTCCCCAAACAAACAAAAAACAGACATCAACAGCAGCTACCTTGAAACGACTTTCACTATTATGGAAGCCAAAACAGAAATTTGGTCTGGGGAATTTTCGATTGCCCGAAGCATGGTGCGCTCCAAAATGAAATGCTCTGAAAAGCGCAAGATTTATCTAAAACCAGGGCTGATCTGCTGCAGTGCGCTATAAAACTGCCAATCGTTGATTAATTAATGTTTACCCGTCGAAGGCTGATGTTTTTTTATGAGCCACTACCAGCAAGGGGTGTAGCGAGTGAACGCTTTGTTTGTCTAAATATCATACGGGTTTGAAGCAAAATTGAACTGCACATAGCGGTTTCAAAAAGACTTGCTTCAATCCAATAACTATATGAACGGGACCCTGATCCCGAGTTGAAGAAAATAGTTCAATTAAAGCAAATCTCAGGATGCAGATAAAATAATAGGACTAATTCCAGCTGGTCGAACGCAAGTTAGATGGAATTCCGCTCTCTCGTCTCGTCGTTGTTGGTTATGGGTTGGTAGGGTGACCATCGTTGATGGAAGATTTGATTATGGTAACTTAGAGGATCGATTTCCAGAGGTGTGTTTGGAGTGCTTTAAGTGAGAGATAGTTCGTTTGAAATGGTTACCTAGACACGATGAACAACGATGGCCACTTTAGACTAATTGCTGAAGAGGGGGAAATGCTAAATTAAAAGTACTTTGTGAATGAACAATCTTGCTACAGACTATTAGTTGGTTTGAACGAAACAGCAAGCGTCTGGACTAAGCTTCCTCTAGCAGCTGCTGTAGTGGTCATCTCGCCAAGCTGATTGCCAATTTAATTAACGCCAATTAAAAGGGTTCCCCGTAGGGTTTGCCCGTCTGCCTGCGTGCGTGTTTCTGCAGCAAGATTTCCATGACATTCAGTGTGCACAGATTTGCCCAACCAGCAGCGTAAACCAATCTCTTTAACCCCGTGCTGACCGCTTTTCTGTTTACATCTTTCCAATTATTGCAGATTGTGACGCACAAACTACTATGTCGAGTCAACAGAAGCATCGAATCCAGGTTCCCGACGGATTACGTGACGTGCTGCTGGAATTTTCGATAGCATACTTGCTGGAGCAGCCGGGCGACGTGATCGACTATGCCGTCGAATTCTTCTCCAAACTGCAGGAAAACCGGAAAACCACCATGATCTCAGCGGCCGAACCCAGCTCGCCCGACGAGAGCATCATGTCACACGAGGAAGGTAGGTGTGATCGGAATTACACTTGTAGTAACAAAATATCAAATTCGTTCTCACCTTCATATCGCGAGCGGAAACAGGCGATGGATTTCCACCCACCCACCGTATTCCACCGGCAACCGATATATCGGATTGCGTGTTTATAATAACGGCTAAAAGATATCGCCTTCGATGAGATATTTATAAGAGAATGGGAGAATGAATCGTGGGATTTTGATACCCTTGTGGAGATTAGTGGATTATGTGAGAAAATTCAAAATTATACAATATTTAATCGATTGTCACATGTAAATCAACGATCATCACTTTCGAGCTTGCTTGCCTTGGTTGGGTCTCTCCCCCTTGTGTAGTGTAACTACAGCTAGCAACAGTGCAATCCATCACAGTAATTGTATATCAGTTCAGTTCGTTTGACATCATGTCTCGATCGATTGATGCTCTTAATTAGAAAAATTTCCGACCGCAACGAGCCGAATCGAATTGTGTGTCCTACGGAGGAGAAGGAGGAGGATGAGGACGATGGGACTAAATTAATTTTCTTTTATTAGATTTGAATGCACGTCGTATTGTGGGGCGCACGTCGAGTGCCACATGCGTGATCATTCTTGATTTTGCTTTGATTGATGTCAGATTGAAAATGGAAAGGGAAGGGGACTGTGGGCGTTGATAGTTTTCTCATTGAAATTCTTCGTGTTCTATTTTGAACTGCTACCCTGAATGGTGCGTGATTTTTCGGATATCCCTGAAATTAATCAACAAACCATCTAATAAAGGATACAGTCCCATTTCAAACTTATTCTCAACGACCTTTCAGTTATGCTGCAGTGGAGCAAGTAGAACGGGATTTTTCACAGTTGAACGTTTTCGGTTAGTTTGTTTATCTGTAGGCACAATCAACAATCTACGATCAGTGTAGCGGTCCTTCTTACCCCGCCGGGCGTTCTTACCCCGTCTTCCTTTATATTGTAACAATTAATTCAACAGTTGGTCAGATGCCGTATAATGCAAAATAAACCACTTTTGAAATTTTGGCCTAATGACCCATTCGGCCTAATGACCCATCAGCATTACGTTATAGAGTATCCTGATATCATACATCATACATCATAACAGGCTATCACGTAATATTGGCTGCAGTAGGAACGGGACATAACACACGTAAATAGCCCTCAGGAAAGCGCGATGAGGTAAACTATCATCATAAATGCGACGAAAAGCATGGTTCGCAACAAACGACTTCTCGTTTCTCAGTTAACTAATTAACTAACAAATAAATTGGCATGTTTTATTCAGTCTTAAGAAAACGACGCAAATTCTTCTCTGTGCAAGATTCTCCTTGCTTCCTGGTCCCCGATAGCGAATGCTACCGGTTTTCAGTGTGATTTAATTTGTGGACAACCTTAATTACTTTTCATCCGCCCGATTCCGCGAATTCGATTTATTATGGACGATAAGGTGGGTGCTCTGTGGTTGACAGACAGTCGGTGTAAGCGACAACTGCTGCTTTTAGAATGATTAATCCGATTTCGGGGGCTGAACCAGCTAACAGCACGGGAGCAATCAATAATTATTACGTTGAGCTTTGGTTGGCGATTCTCGAAGTCGTTCGAGGATTTGTGCGGTTTTTGTGGTTTTCGGAAAGAGCCAATCGAAACCTTAACCAACAACGAAGTGTACCACGGAAACCGCATGCTGGGGTTCTGGTGTCGAGTATTCTGCCGTTCCATGCGGTCCAATTTGCGTTTTGATCAAAAGTGCGGTTTTCAATGGAAATGAGAGTAAATCACCCATATTTTCATGATACTGGATGAAGTCAGCAAATGTTGTTCAGTAGAAGTTTGGAAAATATGTTTTTCTCGGCTTGTTGATGTGTGCTATGGGAACTCGCCATGATCGGCAGTAAATATATGTGTATCTATTGGGACTATTAATTAATGGATGATTATGGTTGTACCAACTGCAATTTACGTACTTACCAAGTGAAATAGTTTAATATCAATTATTTAAACGAAAGATCCTACATATCCGCTAGATTTTACTCCCTCTAAGCCCTTGGTTGAAACCGAGAGTTAATCTCATAAAAAAATGAACATCTAAATACTACTAGAACGCATTAGAACATCATCGCTGCAAACAGTCTACCTGTACTCCATGACAGGTATGAAAATTAGCACATAGACGTTATACGAAAGAACTTGTTCAAACAATATTCTTAAACATTCCCACATCGTCATGCATGTTTTCCAGCACATCATCTCTTTCATCTTGGTTCCGCTTTTCCGCGCTCTCTGTCTTTCTATCTCTCACCTCATATATGTGTGTACCGCGCCGTAGCGGGAAGTAGGTAAACAATTCATCTCATGAGCGCAAACCTGCGGTATTCAAGAGAAAGCATAAACTTCGTCTTGTTCTAGTATGGATATTACGTCCCAACTGAATCTAGGCTCAATAGTGTTCTTGGAGCATTTCCACAGGTATTAAGCGAGAACGTATTAAGTGCATATTCGTAGCAAGTGTGATGACACTCTAAGTCTACGTTAGTCGAAACAATTTCCACCCTAAAAAATTCCTTAAGGCGACCGGGAATCGAATCCACTACCTCCTGCCTTTACTTCCACTACAGTTGCGCCTTTACCTGCTGATCTAGTGAAAGGTCTCTAGAACGCAAGAACACTCTAGACCAGCACTTCTCAAACTTTCGTTGGATGTGACCATCTTTGAAAAATTTCAAGAATTCATGGCCTACCAATATTGAAGACAAAAACATTAAGACCAAAACGACATCAAACGGCTGAAAAAGTCTAAAAAATAGCTAAAAAAATGCCTCAATAGCCAATATGTGCCCGAAATCTCCAGAAACTGGTAAAGCGGGACCTTATTAGCGCTAAGTGAGACCAAAAATCTGTTCACTTTTAATGACCATTCAGGAATGTCAAATGAGCTTTAAAAACTCAAAATAGATAACGCCAAATAAAACCTTTGAATCTGGTCTACATACGCAAACTTGGATTTTCAAAACGCTTCCCAACCAGAAAGGAATATCTTAATTATAAAATCATTATATCAACTCCAGTTGCTTTGTTACAAATCTTGATATATTTTAATCAAAATAATTAAAACAAAATAAGAATACATTTTGTTAAAATTAAAGTTTAAAACACAATGTGCTATCTTTTTGTTAGATTTGGAATTGAAGGAAAAATTAAACTTAAAATGGGGAAAATGGATGTAATGTCGGCCTAAATGTTCCTAATTTGGGCCCATACATAAATTCAGCAATCAACTAAATTTTCAACAGTGATCAAAAATATCCATTAGTACCGTCCCAATGACGCGTTCATCTAGATAAAATTGATAAAAAGCAGACTTTTAGCGGTGGGCCCAATCTTCGATCCAAAGGCCAACATTAGAGCCATTTCCCCTATTGTTTTATTTGTGTTTCAGTCAGCTATGGAATTTATTTCACAATTGCATGGGACCTTTTTAGAAAAATTCCTTTTAAATTTGTCTCAATATTCCCTTCACAGAATCTCTTGGAATTCACTTGAACATCTCCTTTGACTGTCCTTGAAAATTTCATCACGCTACTTCAAATATCTTTGGAAATGTGTTTGTGTTTGTCATCCTCTATCCCTCATCCAGCTGGGAATGTTGGACAAATATAACTGCGAATAATTTGATCAAATTTATGCTTCGTAATGGTGCCCTTTATGTTGTGAAGATCAGTACTTTAAAAAGGATATCTTTTGAGGCATGATAAGCCGTCCTCAAAAAGTTTAAGGAAAAGGATGTACTAATGTTCACAACAGGTACAGCAAAACATCTTTTAGACGCCCTTATTCGCACTATATATTCAGTGATAGAAGGGAAAAGAAGAGCCACCGAAGACAACTGAAGCTTGAACCGGGCACCTGTAAAAACCACAATACCCGCGATAACAGCTAGCAAACGATGCCCTGTCGTATTAAGTTTTTGAATATTGTTGCATTTATAAATGTATTTTGGAATAAATTATTTTTTTTAAATGAATGGATCTCACCAAATTTTAAACCAGATGGCTCATTTTTTTTTCAACAGCAGCGTTATAAAACCACTGGCAACGCTTTTTAAAAAATCGGCTACCCGTCAAGCAAATCACACAAAGGGTCTTAGGAATAACCCCCAAAGTAATTTTTCTCTTTGAAATCTTTGATTGATCTATCAATTGATCGACATTTGGGAATTGTGGGTTCGCATCCCATCGGTGCCCTTAAATTTTGTCGCAAATTTTCACTAACACTCGTCTTGCGCCGATGATATGTGCTTACCTCTCAGTATCTTCTAACTTTCTCATATACAATGAATATTGACTACAAAGTCGCTAACCGTACTTAAAATTAACATTTAAAATATTTTCAGCCACAGGTGATCATTTTAGCTTCATGTCAAGATTGTAGTCATTTAACTTATATATTTTTTTAAAGCGGTGAACATGGAAGAGCGATTGATTTTAAACTTATGAAACATTAAAAGGCCGGCTAATTACTGATTATTCTGATGAGATCCTTTCCAGTTATTTTTTTAAACTTAATTCAATATTTACCAAATCACGTATCGAGTTCGACTAGCCTGTTGTTGTCGTCGTCTGTGAGGTCGCCGCCGGGATCGAAATCTAGTAACAGCAAGTTGGACGGGAACTTGGTCGTAGTTGTTTAGTGAAATAAGGAGCTCGGTGGCCTTGTGGTGACCGATTTTGCTTGCTGAGTAGAAAATCGTGGGTTCAATCCCAAGCTCCTTAACATTATAGAATTATACGTTAACTCGGATTTTTTTTTTCATAATACGATGTAAAGCGTAGAAAGTCGGGTGGAGGGCCGGGTACGTAAAAGAAGTAATATTTGAATTTTAGGAAAAACGTGTTGATCGGAAATCCATATCAAATCCTTCTCCTTGTCAAGAGCAGTTGTTGCGTCGTCATTGCTGAGGTCACCGCCGGGATAACAACAAGTTGAACGGAAACTTGA